TGTTTTCACAGACCACAACAGCCTTAAGTGGCTTATGTCCCGTCCAAATCCCTCTGGCCGGCTGGCTAGGTGGTCTCTCAGACTACAAGACTTTGACTTTTCAATAGTCCACAAGTCAGGAACGCATAACGCCGTTCCTGATGCTCAGTCCAGGAATCCTTTGCCAAATGTGAGTGACACACCCATTGATATTCTGCCAGAACATGCAGTTATTGGCAGTTTGGATCTCCGTTCCCTGCCCCCAGTGTTACTGTCGGATCGGTCACAATTGAGGCAGCTACAAATGGATGACCCTGTGACAGGCCAGCTCCTTAGAGGCATGGAATCAGACGCACAAGTTCAAATGAACAAAGAAGACCAAGAACAATATGCTGTCTATGATAGTTTGCTGTACTACAAGGGCCGAAAGGCTACGTGCAGTTTTCACCTGTTGAAAGGACTCAGACACCAACATCTCTTCATGGAACACTGTCAAGCTACTACTATGACCATCCCTCTGTTGGCCACTTGGTGTTTCTAAAACACTGATGAGACTACGACACAGGTTTTTTTGGCCTGGCATGTCAGGTGACGTTAAACGTTATGTTGCATTTTGCTCAGTCTGTCAGCTCACAAAACCAAGCCAACAAAGACAAGCTGGTCTCATGGTCACTATTGTGCCTCAAAAACCCTGGGAATATACTGGAGTGGATTTTGTGGGTCCCTTGCTCTGCACCATGTCAGGAAATGCTTATTTTCTGGTCTTTATTGACTATTTTTCAAAGTGGATTGAACTGTGCGCAGTTAAAAAGGCCACAGCTCAGGTTTCAGCTGGCAAGTTTTTAAGCGAATCATTTGCCAGGTATGGTAGTCCCTCGTATCTCATTTCAGACAGAGGGTTTCCCTTTGTTAGTGAGTCATTTGAACATGTTGTGTCAGCGTTAGGCTCAACTCATAGGCTAACTACAGCCTATCATCCGCAAATGAATGCAACGGAACATGTAAATAGGACACTCAAAACTGCTATCCGTGCTTATGTGAGTGACAAACAGACAACATGGGACAGGTTTCTACCGCAAATCTGTTTTGCACTTTGCACAGCCCCACATTATAGTACAGGTCTCAGCCCATCCATGATGTTGTATGGACGTGAGTTGGACACACCTCTTGACCTCATCACACAGCCAAGCTGTGATGGCATGGATGACCTGAGCTTGCCCTATCCAGAGACTCTGAAAGCCACCCTCAGGGATGCTCATCACCAAGCCAGGGCTGCATTGGACCTCAGCCACAAAAGACAGAAACACTACTATGACCTGAGATGCCGTCATTCTGCCTTTGAGATCGGTGATCTTGTTCGAGTTAAGTCTCACCCAAGGTCAGATGCACTGGCTAATTTTACAGCTAAACTGGCCCCACTGTTCAGAGGCCCCTTCCGTGTCAGTCAGAAACTCAGCGACGTGAACTACAGACTGACTGATGTTGAAAATGGAAATGATGCTGGAGTTTTTCATGTTGTGAACATGCAGCCTTTCCATACTTGGGACTCTGCACGTTACAGAAAGACTGTTGGTGCAGCTACACGAGCTGATCACATGGAAAGTGACCTTGACAACAGTAATTCTCAGAATGATGTTATTCTTGATCTGCCTTCAGTTGATGCGTTTTGTGACATGCCGAATGACGTTAGCCACTCACGGACCCCAACCGATGTAGCTGACGCCCACTATGCTGTGGCTGAACCTGATTGTGCTTCAGGTTGTGCTGGACGGTACAATCTGAGAGCCTGACGTCACCCTAGGATCACGCCTGGTTGGGCAGATCATAAATGGACAAAAAGCTGTCATACTGACAGACTTAACAGAGTATAAGTTTTCATATGATGTTTAAGTGATTTTACGTTCATTGTGCTATGTGTCAGTTTTGAGGTTAACAGCACGTGTTTTTCTCTGATAGTTTTGGTTGCCGGTAATTTTAGAGCCATCTCCATTTCTTTTTGTGGAATTTTTGTTGATTGTTCTTCGTGTGTTCATTGCTAGGTTTTTTTTCTTGTAAAAAAAAAAAAAAAGAGTTCGACACTTTTTTTATGTTTATATTTTGAATAGTAATCTGGCTATATGTTCTGGTTGTCGACCTATATGTATCCTGGTGTGATCTGGTACCTTTTCCCTTATGTAACTGCAGTCTTGCGGCTATGTGTAGCTTTGCTAAGTTCTGTGGAGGTATCTATGGTCGTGTACGGTTGAGGACAGCCTTTATCTACTAGGCGGGCATATGTAAGTCAATATTTACTTCCTAGAGGCATTTATATAGAACCACAAGGGGGGGCCTACTCCCCTTCTCTTTCTCTATCTCTTCTTCTGTTTTTTTAGAGAGAGCTGGATAAGTCGTGGTGTGGTGCTAACGCACGAGTTCTCTGTCCTGTATGAAGAGCTTTAATAAAGAGACCGTGTGGAACCTCCTCGGTGTGTTGAGCTCTGATTATTCCGGTCAGACATTAGGGTCAGTTGCGAACACTCATGCTGAAAGCTGTCAACTTGGATCTGAATCAGGATGTATCTCAATGCCAGGTCGGAATAGGGACCCAAAATTGTAAAAATAGATCTATATATTTGTTGTTGCCCATAAGTGTAGATGTGTATCTTGTATCTATGTTTAACTACAGCAGGTTGTAACTGATAAGGTTTATTGCTGAGCTCATGAAAGGAACATGAACACAAAGAACCTGTTTCAACATAAATACCAACCCTGGTGACCCTGAACAAGTGAATGCAGGAACTGTCAAAAAAGACAACTTGTGATGATTCTGTTGAAATATCAGGAGTCAGAATTAGCCATTTTACAAATGATTTAGGAATACAAACTCTCTTTCTTATCCTTGAACAACCACTCAGTTCATTTATATTTTTTTCTAAAGTCCTCTCCTAAAAGCAGGAGATATTAAAGGGGATCAGTCTTCTGGAAACATCCATGGTGACATGTAGTTTCTATTTCTGTGGGTTACCACTTGGAAACAGAACTTCTGCAGTGATGCTGCTGACAAAGATACAAAAAGCATTTTGAAAAGATGTCCATCCCTAAGCCCAATCAGGAAACAATGCTGCTTTGCCATTTTAGTTCTGAAAAACTATCCAATAAAACATATTTGCAGGAAATACAAGATGAACAGTTAATTAAATGTAAATGAAAAACCAATGGGGTGAGTAGACATTGATCAAGCTGTTCAGCTGAAGAATTCTTTGTATTTAGTGACAGGGCAGCGTAATTGCATGACTTTTTATAGCAAAGACCAAAGACTGGCTAAGATATCTCTAGTTTTCTTCTCCATTGTTACATGGAGGTACAAGACAGCTGATGCTGATCCAAGCAGAGCTGGCAGTCTGATTTATGTGCCAAAGCCTTTCTATATGAAAACCTCTTCATAAAAGCTCTCTAAGTTATTGGACTGTAAACTCTGACACATGAGTAAATCAGCTCAACAGGCAAAACATAGAGAACCAGTTTTAGTGAACCACGTTGCAAGTAGCTCAAGTCCCAACCAACCTAAGCTGTCATCTTCTCTAACCTTTTGGATGAGATGTTGATTGGAAATACATTGAGTCCCAATCACAAGTTTGCATTATTATAATTGACTTGAGAGTCTTTTTAATTTTTTTTTATTTGAGATGTTCTTTTTTTCAGGGTGTACAAATATTTAAACATACAACTTCCATGATTTCAAAAACAAGAACTAGGAACATGTATATGTTGCATATGTTGATGGTTAGAAATCCATCAACATATACATACATGGGGGTATGTATATATTTGAGCCTGGTTGCAAAGTTTTGACCACATTTCTGATGGTTTAAAGAAAACCCACAATATATTTAAATTTGGGCATGCAATTCTTGTTTTTAAACATTACTAAATTTGTTGTATTATTGTAGAATCATTTCACCCTGAAAAACAGAGTAATCCAAATTAATCTATCACTGATGCCCATGATGTGTACAGGGTTAGGCTCTGATCTGCCCTGTAAGTGAGCCAGTCAACATTAATGTTTTGCTATTGCTAAAACAGGCAGAATTATAATGAACTGTTTAAGCCTTTGGTATGAGTCATAGTCTGCATATCGAGTCAAGTGACAAATGACAGTAATAAAAGTGCAAACTAGAACAGTGTATCATCACAGGAGCCCCACAATGTAACAGTCATGTAGAATGTCACTAGTTTCACCGTGGAGCAGATCTTTTACCTTGGAAAATCAGACATGTCAGTTCAAAGTTCAGTGGCAATTTTTTCTTAAGTGTAATGTCACCTTTGTGAGGAAAGGAAGGAGTAAGCTGTGGATTGAAACCTTGAATGATGGGTCTGTCCAAAGCTCTTGGCAGCAAGAACTGCAAACAATGAGAGCTGACAGCTAAAGGCAAGCACAGCCTCCATGCAACATACAGAAATACGGATCAGCTGGGTCAACCGCTGCAGGCGACCTGGACTCTGACTAGAGGGTTGGGAATTAAAGCAGGAGAACGTATCACGCCTCCACTCTGGGGCTTTACTGCTCACAGTGTGTACAAAAGATAAAAGGTTTAGCCCTCACTTCATAAAACAGATCCTTTGAGGCAATTTGATACTGAGAGGTTTCTGATTAATGAAACAAAACTGAGACTAACGATACAACAGAAAGTCCCAAATGTTTATTTTCAGCTGAAAAACTAGAATATATATATACACATGATATATTTCTTCTGTTTATGCTTTTTGTTTCAGACTTTAATGTTTAAGATTCATCCATCCATTTTCTATACCCACTTCTTCAATACATCTCCAGCAGTCTATGGTCTAGAGGCAGGGTGCATCCTGGACAGGTTGCCAATCCATCGCAGGGCAACACAGAGACACACAGAACAAACAACCACGCACACCTAAGGGCAATTTAGAGACACCAATTAACCTAAAAGTCATGTTTTTGGACTCTGGGAGGAAGCTGGAGTACCTGGAGAGAACGCACACATGCACAAGAAGAACATGTAAACTCCATGCAGATAGACCCCAGGCCAGGAGTCGAACCCAGGACCTTCACCTTCTTGCTGCAAGGCAACAGTGCTACCAACTACGCCACCATGCAGCCCATGTTTAAGATCATTAAGCAAATTTTAATATCAGAAAAATATACCTTGCTTAAATACAAAAGCAATTAACAAACCAACCTGGCTCTGCTTGAAAAATAAATTGTTCATATTATCTTAGGAATTTTTTTTTTTTGTGCAAGTACTTTGTTTCACTACCCATTCTGACCAGTGCCAGACCTGTAGACATGGGAGAGTTCCAAGGACACAACTACTGCTGAAGTAAAATAACTAAAAGTCTCCACATTTTTCCCAAATAGCATCTTCATGATTTACAAGACTTTTTACAAACCCTACATGGACTGACGACACAAAAGCAGAACTTTTTAGAAATCTGTCATAAAGCGAACACAGCATTTCAAAAAAAGATCATACCCACAGTCAAACATAGAGGTACTAGCGTGATGGTGTGGTGCCATTTTGCTGCGTTAGAACCTGGATGGCATGCAGAAACTAATGGAAACATTAATTTAGATTTCTAGCAGAAGAACCTCAAGGAGAATGTTTGTCCAGCAGTTCATAGCATTAGGCTCCACCAAACTTGTTACTTTAAGCTTAGCAGGAATTTACCTTACCAGGAATTAGACTACCTCTAAATGGTTGTCTTGCTTGTGGTAATTTTTTTCCCTTTATTGTACATAGTTTTAATGTGTAAACTTTATTTTGTATTAACTTAGATTATCTTGTCTGATTTTAATATTTGTTTGATGATCTCAATCATTTAAGTGGGACAAAGAAGCTGAAATAGAAGAAATCTGTAAGGGGACACAGTTCTGTATGGAACCTAATTTTATAAATAAAGTTAAACCAGCATGCAAAACTGTCTCTCTGATAAATCCCTTAATAAATTAATATCTTTCAAATATCTTAGCTAATCTCGAATCGGAAGTGAATAATATCTGACCTAATAAAACTCTGCCTTTTAAAAGGTTTTAACCTATAGGTAATTCAGAAACACTTCAATGGGAAATGATATGGGGATGGAGAACTAGATCAGGAAGGGACTGGAGGCTTTTCCAGTAAAATAAAAACCATGGTACTTTGGATGTCCTCTAGCCTGGTAACATGTAGACAGGCACTGACAGGCAGGGGAGAGACAACCACAACAGACTACAGAAAGAAATGCAGGTTTCTAAAAGAAACATCAGCATACATCTCCAGGCTCCCATGGTGTGACTGAGAAAATAAGCACTTGAAAAGAAAATGTGACAGCATGGCACTTTTCATCTGCATGTTTTTGTGTTGCTTAGTTGCTCTAATTTTCAGGCTTTGTTTTTCACAGTTTCTCTTTGATTTTATTCAGCTTATCCTGTTATTCTATTTGATGTGCTTTTTTTTACATTCTGTATCCTTGTTATGTTAGTTTATTTCCTGACTGTCAGTTGGTCTTGCTTTCTACTCTGCACTCATAAAAAAGTCTTTAGCTGAAAACCTAACATGGAACTTGACAGATAGCTCTTTGGGATTCACCTTGTTATTGCAAAAAGCACTATTTTAAGGCAAACTGTGTTGCCTTTGGCAGTTTTTGCAAATACAACAAAAATGGTAACAAACGTCTTTGTGAAAGGTAGTAAGTGGTTACAAACCGCTATAACTGGTTTTAAAGTTGTATAACTTTTTGGTATATTCTTTGTTTTTTTGTTTGTTTTTTTTTTTTTTTTAATTAAAGCTGTGGTAGATAACTTTTGTAAAAATATATTTTTTTACAGTTTTGTTAAAAGTATCACTATGTCCTGGCAGTAGAATATGAGACAGATTAGCTGTAAAAAAAATAAAAAATAAAATAAAGCTCCTCTTGCTCCTCCCAGGGGTCCTACTCCCATTTGCAGAAATACACCGCTCCTGGTGAGAAACAACCAATCAGAACCAGGTGGAATGTGTTAGCAGCACCAATCACGCTCATGTATTTGTTGCTCACACCCCTTCCCCGCACTCGTAAGATTGCGGGGTGCTGCAGCTGTGCTAATGATTTCTGGACCAAGTTTGTAGTCAAAGTATAGGAAGGCCATAGTCAATGTAAAGCATATTGTTTCGTTTCTACCAGTGCAGGTGCCAAGCTGTTTATCTGTCATCATTGGTGGCCATGCTTACTAGCCTCCATATTTACGGCAGGCTACACTGTGGCAAAGGAGGAGTGGAGGGAGGGCTGTAGCACAGTAGAGAGCAAGGGGGAGGGACCTGTAAGGTGTGCTTGTTCAAACTTTCACTCCACAGTTTTCTCAGAACTCCCTACTGCACCTTTAAGCCAAATGATTCACAGAGCTGTGTTTAGTGTTTAACCACATAAAATATTCATCTGAAAATGGTCAGGTAATTTCACACTAGATGGAAAATTTTAAGCTAATATTTAAAGAAAGACTTTGAAAGGTCTGTTGAACTTTGTCTCAAGACTACATATATACCCATTTGAATTACAGTTTTCTAAATGGGTTTTCATAATGCTTTAACCTGGTAATGCAAATATCTGCCTTTTTCAGTGTCTTTTAAGAACTAAAAGAAAATAAAAATCTGTGACAACTGCATTCATAACATTTTTCTAGCAGTCGTTTATCATTACCATTAAGAGCAGAGGTGTACACAACCTTTAACATTGTGCATTAGGAGTTAGTACAAATAGAGTGGCTGCAGTCTCTGTGTGTGGACCTTCAATTTAAGACTGAGATTTCCAGAATATTTTTTTTAATTTTCAAATTCACCATGTTTTATGCTAGACAGAGGATGAAATTCAAGGATAAAATAGAAAACGTTTGCCTCATATAGCCTTCTAATCTGCACTAGTTTCACTCTCTCTAGCTCTATAACAGCCTGAATGAACCACAGATATGTTTTAGAAAATACAGTTTCCTTTTAAATTGCTTCCTACGAGGGTTGTCACCATGCTAAAATTTCAAACTCAATACGATATTAAAAATACTGGATACCAATTGGTTAATAATTGACAACAATCGGTTAAAAAAAGCACAGAAATAGCCTGACATGCTTCTGTACTCAGTAGAAGATAGACCATGTGAAAAGTGATAAGATACAAACGGTTTATAAGCAGAGTGAGAATACTTAAACTGACTTTCGGTCAGCAGCAAATGACACTAAATTTGGTATCTGCAACATGACTTTCTATGAGTGCTAATTTTAACAAGTCTGAGCTCAAAAGGGAGCATTTTCTATGTATTTTTGGTATTAACCAACTTAGTATTAGACAAGCATAACACTGTAATGTGTATTGTATAATTAAGCCCCTGTTTTAAAGCTTAACAGAAACAATGCAAGTCACATCACATAATGTCTCTTTGGATGGATTCCATTCAGACTGCTAAAGTAATGCAGTTAAAAGTTTCCCCGACCACCTCTGAAGGTGGCCTGAGGCAAAGCGGCAAGTGCCAGGAATGAACGGTACCCAACAGTGCATCTTGGTCCTCCTCTTCATGAGTACTATTCCATTTACTGCAGAGCTAGAACCAGAAAAATATTGCAAACATTTCAAATATGGATTCACCAGTTGGAGAAATGACCAACTTTGGGTGGGTAGGAATCTTAAAATAGGAGATAAAGGCAGCCTCGGACTACTTTCTTTATTAAAGGCAGGTCAACATATTGCCTTTCTGATAAATACATTTTCTCGAAATCTGCCATGGTTGTACTAACAGACGAAAGTCAGTAGGGCACCAGCCTTCAGTGTGTTGCAGGATTAATAGTGAGCTTTCGATCAGCTGCAGTTTAGCAAACAATGAGTTCTGACTGGCCAACAAGTCTCAGAGCAAATAGCTCCATTGTTATCACCTGTACTAGGGATAAATTGTCTTTTGGAGGCTGTGTATGAGGTCAAGGAGATCTGTGAGTAAGATGCATGGGATTCACCTGACATTTCAACAACAGCTCTGTAGGCTGAGAGGTTGAAAGAAACTGCTGCTTCAGACAGTTAATTGTTTCAGGCTCAAAGACATTAGCAAAAATAAAACTGATCAGTACTGAATATGAGCCCTGCAATATGAGCCTTATATGAGTCCTGCAATTTAAATACTCCATCAACCATAGATACCCCTGTGCCAGTCAATCTCTATTGCAGATATTTAAGGCTTACATGTCAATCTGTAGAGGAATAGATAAAGATCACCTTGCTTCTTTGTGTCATAAAAAAACTTCCACCATTCGTGTTATGAAAAGCTGCTCAAACTTATTAAATATCAATGAAAAGATGCATCTTAATTTTTCCAGAAGCAACATTAAATTTGTACTTTTAAAAGTGATCTAAATAAACTCAGTTACATGTGCAGTAACTCCATCAATCCTTTGCTATTTGCATCTTTTTATTTAAAAGCGGTGCCAAGATGAGCCACAGCCCTGTCATTATTCCTGCTAAACGTATGCATAGCACAGCGTCTCTTTCCTTTTGTTACTTTGCTCAATAGGATGATTCTGAATAAACTGACACTACAGGAGGAACTGGAAACTCGTGTGGCTCTCTGAGGGGAGAACATGTGCAAAACCCACCCTCCCTGCAGAGAAGTTCAGTCCATCCTAGGGTCATTATCTAGCTGTGATCGGAATGCATAATGTGTGCACTGCCGAGATGAAGGGCCTGGGGAGATGTCTGCACCTTCTATGTCCATCAGTGCACCACGTGCCATTCATCTCTGCAGTCATCATGGTTTAAACAAGCTCTGTGGGTCATGAGTCCCTCGCAGGGGGGCCCATTGTTGACACCAAGAGTAGTAGATAACTACATATTGCAGTGCATTCAGTAGTGAAATAGAGCTGTAAAACAGAGACCAGAGGACCGAAGGTTGGACTTTGTTTCCTACAGCAAAGTGAAGTAAGACAGCTGGCTAAATGAGGGGCTCTACTGCAAGTTCTTCCCCTGCAGCTGGGATGTCAAAGCACAGATTACCACCTGCAAGATGCTTGTGGATATGAACACCCATATCTTGGTGCCTAAAGGTGTCCTACAGGGAGGCTGTTGTGTTTGCTGGGCACATCTGCCACAGTAGCCTTAGGGTCAGCA